GCATCGGCTGTACACTTACCTGCTTTATGGGCCCTATCTGGAAATGAATGAAAGGGAAACTGGTAGGGGAGGGAGCGCCCTCTGAGCTGCCTCAGGTGCGCATCTCTCCATCACCTGCTTGCAGCTTCCCTCTTCTGACCTCGCAGCCACCACGAGATCTGTATCTCCTGATGACCACAGGTGTTTCACAGAATGGAGAAACCAAGGGGACAATGTCACGAAGAGAGTGGTGACAGCAGCTGAGCACAGCTCCCAGCCCCAGCTCCAGCACTAAACCAATGCTCCCACCATGGGGAAATAGCACAAAGTAAGGAGCATCATCAGCACAGCTCAGAAAGCAGGAAAGGATTTTGTTTATTGGTTTCAGATTTTTAATTTTAAGTAATATGGAAAATACTGATGATCCACAAGAGGAGAAACAAGAGTTGAGGAGCAGCAAGGGTTGAGGAGCAACAAGGGTTGAAGAGAAGTAAGGATTGAATAACACAGAAAAAGATGTGCAAAAAAATGAAAGAACTAAGGAGAAGTAAAAAATAAGTGCAAAGTTCCGGGAGTGGGGAAAAAAAAGTGGGAATTTTGCCCACCCAGAAGAGGCACCCGCAGGCTCAGCCCAGCAGAATGCTGCCTCGGTTATCACCCTATGCATGGGGTGAAGCTCAACCAGGCAAGGGTAATGTCTACAATTAAAGCCAGAACAAACCACATGCTTATTGGATTCAGTGTGAAACTGTTCTTTGCTGCCAGCTGCAGGGAGTAGATGATCTGATAGGTCCTTTTCTTCTCTAATTCTCTTGATTGCCTATGGGTATTGTTATTGCTTATGTTGGCCAAAACCTGACCATGTATCTGGATAGAATGTACCGTAAGAGAAGCAGTTATTTGACAGGAATACTGCAAATGCGTCCAGCCTGGGAAGGCAGATTCCATTCACTGTGCACACCAATGTCATTTGTTCTTTTGGGGTCTTCAGTAACTTCTACCACATATGGCAAAGAATACCACCACAATGTCATCACATGCCTTTGTTGGTGTGGGTTAATCCACAAATTCTCAATGAAGATCTGTTGTGGGTTATGCTGGATGCTTACGAATGTCTTCAGAGCTAATGAGCAAGCAACCACACTGCCCAAATTTGCTTCGCTTTTAATTGTGGCCGTTTTCCCTGCCCTCTGTAAGAACTGCTTTCTTCTCTTCCACCTACCTGTGCCTCTGTACTACTCAAAGGATTTCATGCTTAGATTACGTGTGCTACCATGTACATGATTTGTGCTAAAACTTCCCCAAAGCACCAAATAATATGGGAACCCCCAGAGTGATTCCAAGCATCCTGGATGAGAACAGGAGCCCAGCCAGGTGGGAGTGCTGTCTGCCACTGCCCTCGGCTGGGCACCCAGGTAAGGCTGCAGTGCCCTCCTCCTTCCATCCCTCTGCAGCTCGGGGGGTTCCTGAGCCTGCACAGATCACCATGGATTGCTGGCCAAATTTTCTGCAATTTATGTGCTGCAAAACCTCCGGCTGCTACAGGATATAAATCAGTGGACTCATTGACAATAATTGGAAAAAAAAATCTGTGATGTTAAAGGCATAATATGAATCTTGATCTTAATCTGGGCTAAATCTCCCAGCAACATAAATTACCTGTCTGCTTGGCTAGCTCTGTTCTCTGCGGTCCCTATGGAGTCTGACTGTGTAATGGGCACGGTGTAACACGATAGATGGAACAAGGCTTACTGTGCTCTCAAATCCAGCTGAAGAGTGGCAGAATGATGTGTTCAGACTGGAGAGGGACGGGATGAGTTCCTCTCTCCTTTTCATGTACTGGACAATTACACACGAAGCACTACAAGTCCAGTTGCCACCGATGGTCTAATGCAAGTGGCAGAGCAACTGTGCTAGTTAAATATCTGTATTAGTGACATCTTAAAGCACAGCAGCATTAATAAGAAATGAATTTTAATTAAATACTTGTACCTAAAATCATAGAATCACAGAACAGTTTGAGTTGGAAGAGACCCCCAGAGGCCATCTGCTCCCACTGCCTGCAGTGCACAGGGACACCCACAGCTCCATCAGTGCTCACAGCTCTCCAGCCTGACCCTGGGGGTCTGCAGGGATGGGCACCACCATTCTGAGCAGTCTGTGCAGTGTCTCTCCACTCTAATGGTAAAAAAACTTCCTTATATCCAATCTTAATCCCCCTCTGTTAGCTTGGTAAGGGTGTCTGGAAGGAAGAAAAGGACAAAGAAATCCGTGTAACACACCTACAACTGAAGTGTTGCAATTGCCATCATTTTAGATTTATACTTCAAGTGCACAGTGCTTACTTTTGCAGCACTCGGTTAATGCGCGTTGAGAGAAGTTAGCATTTACACAGATCAGATCTAACCTTAAGGAAGCCTGCCTCAAACGAGCACACAGAACTGATTTCTGAAAACATCATAATCCGAGGAAACTTTATCCCCGCCGGCTGCTTGCCGGGGCGCACCGACAGCCCGGCTCGTTCTTCCCTCTTGGCCAGGTACGATCCAGCAGAAACACGGCGCAGATCAGCTCCGCAGAGCCGCGTGCCCTGCAGGACGGCGTGGAATGCGGCGCTTCCAGAAAGCAGAGCTGTCAGGAGGGACCTCCTCGGTGTGAACGGCAGGCGAGGCACTGATCCTGCACTGCAGCCAACAGGAGCAGTGGGTGCCCAGCAGCTGCCTGCCGGCCCACTGCTCCCAGCGCATCATCAATTCGGCCGCACCGCGTGCTCCTCTTCACCACCGCGCTGCTGAAACATGTCGGGATCCAGCACAGAGTTGCTCTGTCAGACTGGCAATAAGGCGACAAGATGGAACTCCTGGAAAAAAAAAAAAAAAAAAAAAAAAAAAAAAAGCTGCAATAATGTTAAAAATATCGTAAAATGTTATTTATATCAGGATACATTTGTTACCCCATACGACAATCATTCATATTTCTTGACAGATATAAACCTCTGCTTAACACATTAGTATCATAAATATTATCAGATATAACGCTGTAATTTAATACCTACCAAATGCATTTTAAAATATTACTCAATTTAAAACTTTGGATTTTAACCAGATGTGTTTCCAGAAAATGATTCGGGTCAGATGCTTTTTTCTTTCCCTTTCTCTGTGCCTGCGCGTTCAAAGCGGAGCATTACTCTGTGATTTATTGCACCACGACTGCGTGCCCCCAACCCACAGCAGCTCCGCGATACTTCATCCTTGAGGCACACACACCTGCAGTCCAAACTAACAAGAGAAAACATCTACATGGCACGGCAGGAGCCTTTGAAATGTCTCTTTGCAGTTGCCTGGACACAGAACAGACTGGTAGAACGGGGAGGCAGCGGAGAAAGGGTGAAGGCAGCAACTCCGGCCTCTTTCATCTAGAAAGGGGGGACCATGGAGAGATTAGAGGAGAGGATTTTGATTAGATCACTGGAATGTGAAATGATGCTTCCCAGGATTAAAATCCTATTTTAGTGCTACCAAACCGGTTACGTCGTTAGCCGGGCTCCGGAGGGCTGCACAGCTCCGTCCTTGCAGACATCCATCAGGCTGTGCCATGGGGCCCCCGAGCCTCTCTGCCCCCCACACCACAGAACCCAACCATTGAGGAGCCAGCAGCCCTACAAGCTCAGGGCTTCGGGGTTCCCTCTCCGGGCATCAGCCACACGTGCCTGGTGCTGCTGGCTGTGAGCTCGGCGGGCGCAGGCCTGGCGCGTCCCCACCCAGTGCCATTGGTCACAGCCACGACGCGGCCAGCCAACAATTTGAAGGTCTGTAGTTGCCGGGTTGATCATTACGTGCGACTCATTAACATAAAACCCGCCATCGCGATTAGTATCTTTGTGAGCAGCAGCCTCGGCAAAAAGTGGAAATGGAGGCAGAAACGGCGGTGCTGCTCCGAAGGACGGCGTTGGGAAATCAGCAGCAGCGACTGCTCTGCGCTGTCTGTAACTTCTCCAGTGACACAGAGCCATTTTCCAGCCGTCCGTCCACCGACCGGATCGAGCACCGCATCCACTTGATGATCAAATCCAATTTGAGGAAAAATCTACATTCACTCACTTACCCAGAGGAAGACGTGTTTATTTTCCCCTTGTGCACAAAGTGCACAACAGTGTCGGGAGCACAGAGTGGGGCTGACCTGGGGCAGGGGGTGGGGAGCACACTGTAGGGGATGGAGAGTATAGGGCAAGGGATGGGAGCACAGCGTAGGGGATGGGAGCACCGGGCAGAGGATGGGAGCACCCTATAGGGGATGGGAGCACCCTATAGGGGATGGGAGCACCCTATAGGGGACTGGAGCACCATGAAGGGCTGACCTGGAGGGACAGGTACAGCTCTGCCTGTTCCCTGCCAGGAAATGGGGTTTTGGGGGCTGTTGTATTTGCGGGCTGTGCACGCAGTTTGTTTTGGGAAGAGATGCGCCTGGCAAAGCGCTCCGTGCTTTTCAGGAAAGGAGCAAGGAAAATGTTTGTATTTGTAGGACGCGTTATCTTTCAGCACCAAATAACTTCTCTCACCTTTTAAAATCCCCTTTTCTATAGATATGCCGCATTTCCCGGCCCTCCCCGAGCGGCGCTCTGCGGCAGCGACCCCCGAGCGCCCACATTTCCCCGACTCCCCTTTCAACACAGATCCCCCCCAGGACGCCGCGAACCAGACACCCCCCGGCACTTTCCCATCGCCGTTTCCTTTCGATTCTCCCCTCTCACACCGCACTCCGCGCTGTGGGGCGGCAGCACCGGCCGCTCAGCGCCGTGCCCCCCCCGCCCCCACAGCCCGGGCTCGGCCCCCGCGGGCGCTGCGTGGGGGGGGGACACACACACCGGGAGCGCTCCGGAGCGCCGCCCCCCCCTCACCCCCCCGCCCCGCGCTGACTCCGCGTTCCGGGCGGCGCGGGCTCCAGGCCGGGATTTGGGCGCTCCCCGCCGCCGCCCTCCCCTCGCCCCCCCGCCCCTCCTCCCCCCTCCCTCTCTCCCTCCCTCCCCCTCCCTCCCGGCTCCGAACTCCAGCCCCTCTCTCTCTCTCTATCAGCCGCTCACTCTGTCTCAATATGTCTCAAGATGGCGGCCAATGTGGGATCGATGTTTCAATATTGGAAGCGCTTTGATTTACAGCAGCTGCAGGTCAGGCTCCCCCGCTCGCCGCACCGGCCGGGCCGCGCCGCCGGCCCCCCCCCCCCCCCCCCCCCCCCCCCCTCTCCGCCTTCCCTCGGGCCCGGCCTCCCCCCCTCCTCCTCCCGCTGCCGGCCCCGCCGCCTGCAGGGAACCCCCGCTCCGCCCGGCCGCGCCGCGCCGCTCCCTCCGCCCCCCCCGCACCGATCGGCGCCCCCATCGGACATCGATCCCCTTTGTTCAATTCATCGATCGGCCCAAGATGGCGCCGGAGCCGGCTGTGCCGTGCCGGGGCCGCCGCCGCTTCGCCCCGCTCCGTCCCGGGGCTGCGCTCCGCCGCTCCCCGCGGCCGAACCGCGCGGGGCCGCGCGCTGCCGGCGCTCCGAGCGTTCTGCCGCCCCCCCACCCCGTCGTCCTCCTCCTCCTCCTCTCCCTCCGTCCCTCCCGCGGCGGCCGGGGAAAGTTTCCCGAGTGCCGGGACTTTGTGTGCGCGGGGGCGCGGGGCGGCGGGGGCCGGGGGGGCGCTCTAACGCCGGACGCGTCCGCGGCGCCGCGGGCGGCCCCGGGGTGCCGGCACCGGGCGGGGGGGGAACCGCCGAGCGGCGCCGGGAGGGGGGCGGCACCGGGGGCGGCGCGGGGCGCTCGGCGGAAGCGCGGAGTGCGGCGGGGGCCGAGCGGCGGCCGCGGCCCCGCGGGAATCGGGGGACGGCGGCACCGGGGCCCTCAGGTGCGGCGGGAGGGAGCGCCGTCCCGTTCCGCCGCCGCCGCCGTATTGTTCGCGCGGAGGCTGCGCGGAGAGGCGGACTTGGCCGAACTTTCCCCGCTCGGCAGGGCGCTCGGCGGTACCGAGCGGAGCGGGGAGAGCGAGAGGCGGATGCGGAGCGGGATGAGGAGAAGGGGTTGCGTCGGGATGCGTTTCAGCTGGGGCTGCCGGTCCGCGCGGCGGAGTTGTGCCGGCGCGACGCGGGGACGGAAACGCTGCGCGGGACCCGAAGGGCAGCGTTACACGGGCGGCTCGGGGCCGGGGCTGCGCCGGGCGGTAGCCGCGTGTGACCGAACCCTGCGGTGATGGACCGTTCTGTTCTGTTTTGAGTAAAGGAAGAAAAAAAAAATAATAAAAAGCTGGCTTTTATCGGGGTTTAATTTCTGTGCGCGCTGTAAAACCTGTTGTGGAGCGTCGCGCTGTGACGCCGGGTGACGCCAGCGCTGGGCTCTCGGCTGCCCGCGTTGCGGCCCTGCGCGGCCGGCAGCGCACGGAGCCCCGCAGTGAGCACGGAGCGCCTCTCATCCCCACGCAGAGCGGTTAATTTGTCGCAAATTAGCCTTTATTTTCCTTTAATTATCCGCCCGTCCGCGCGCAGAGGCAGCGCGGTGTTTCCTCCCGCTTGCAGGTGAAGCGATGCGCTGCGAATGCTGCCGTTGTGCCATGTGAGGTTCGGTCTCGCAGAGCTGCGTGTGCCCCCCCGTTCATTTACAGTAATGTGTTTCAAGGGCAGCGACAGAAAGCTGGAGCTGCTTTCCCTGTGATCTCTGCCCTGCTCCGGGCAGGGTCGCACAGTGCAGAAGTTGGGTTAAGGATCAGACTGTGGGATGAGAGAGGTGCAGAGTGGCAGCTTCCTATAAGAACAGATGCGGCTCTTCCTTTCGGAACATCCCTGAAGCGCGTGCAGCCCTGGGTGCTCTTCTTGTAGGGGTCAGATTTATTTCCTAAAGAGGCAATGAAATTAGCATGACATCACTTCAGCATGAGTTTGCCACGTGGTGAAAGAAGGACCCACGTTGGGTAAGGTGTGCATGGAGAGAAGGAGCCCTCGCTGAGGATGACGGTGGTGGTGGGAGATGTGAATCCCATCCCTGGAGCAGCGCTGCTGCCCTCAGCTCCTGCATCTCCTGCTGGGAGGCACCGCCATGGTTCCTGCAGCTCCGTGGCCGTGGGTCTGGTGCTGCTTACCAACACCTTCCCACAAACTCCCCTCTGCTGGTCAGCAGGGAAACCGGCGCTGTGCTGCCAGGGCGATGGGGAAGTGTGGGTCCCACATCACTGACTCTGTCTGTCTGTCTGTCTGTCTGTGTGTTGGAGGATGCAGCACTTCCAGCTGCATCTCCACAGCCAGCATGGCTCAGCCCGACCCTCAGTCCTGAGCTGAATTCATGCGATGGCTGGAGGGGTTGGAACTGCTTGGTGGAAACCAAAGGAACGCGGTGTTGAGGTGCTCTGAAAATAAACACGAGTCCCAAAGTCTCACAGTCGCTTTTTGGGTAGGAGTGCAGTAAGTGGCTGCTGGTGAGCAGGGCAGCATGGCTGGCTGTGACCGAGCTGCAGGGCTGGAATCTCAACCCGGGTCTCACTTGTTGTGCTTTTCTGTATTCGTTTTTGCAAATCTCATCCTTATTATTGCATCATGTCTGATCAACGTCAGGGTGGGGTATCAGTTCCCACTGCACCGTGACTAATTGTTGTAAGTAAACCATTGATCTTTCTGTAATGTTACAAAATTTGCACCAAGTCTGGAAAAACGAAGTAGCAGTGAGTAGCGCTTAAATACTGAAGCTATTCAATTATTTAATTAGAAACAGGTGGAGCTCTTGGCATCCGTTCCTGGATCCGATCGCAGCAGAGCAGGGGCTGATTTGCTTTAAGTGAAGGAGTTAACGTGCTTCATCACAAGTGGAATTAGCGGCTCTGCGTTAATTTCATTTGCCTGTACGGCTCTCTGTAGAACTTTTAGTTTCTGTTCTAACAGCAGCTGTGTTTCAGGCTGGGTGCTCTCACACCGTGCTTGTGGCCAGCTGGATTCTGAGCTGAGAAGCGCGGTGCTGTTGGTGTGGAGTGTGGCAAAGGTTGGGGAGTTTTGGGAACAGATTGCGTCTGTGTGTAACAGCAGCAAAAACATGATGGGCGAAGCGTCCAAAGTGTCACTGAACGATTATTTGTTATTTCCGAGCCAATTTGTAATGCAAAAGATGGATGGAGGAAGATGCGCGATCCCAAATTTCAATTTGATCATCCTGAGCTGGAAATGAAGGCTCAGGAGATCTGTATGTGTGTGCTGATGCTTCGGGTGCAGGCAGCAGCTCCTTGATGCGGGGCCTCCAGTGTGTGCTGTGTTCCCATGCCCCCAGCATGCAGCCTGGCTTCTGTTCCATGTGCTCTGCGTTCTGCTCTTCATTTCTCCCTGTGCCGCATGGTTTCCCGTGTGCAGAGGTGTGATGTGTGCTGGGATCCCAATGCAGCTGGTGCTCCTGCATGGCACGGGGCGCGGAGCTGGCAGAGAGGCAGCAGGAATGGCATGGCTGTAGAAGGCAGTGTGCCCGAAATGGAAGGGGTTTGGGCTTTGATGTGCGTGGTGAATTTCTTGGGAAAGGTGGGAGGAAATAAGGCCTCATGCTGATGAGGTGTCTTTACAGTGGTGAAGGTAAGGCTTCCTCGTTTCATGGAAGATATTCTCAGCTTGTTTTCCCTGCCCTGACAAGGCAAATACATCTGTCACTTCTGCTTTTCCTGTTAATTATCATGTTAAAACACAGCGAGCTGCGACGCTCGGGTTGTGAAGAACCTAGGAATCTGAACAGGTGACTGAAAACGTGTGCAGTTCAAAGTTCTTACCAAAGATCAGCACGAAGCGTTGCAGATGTTGGGTGCGGGCTGTGGGATGTGCAGCAGGCTTTCCTGGTGTCAGACAGTGCTGCATTCCCAGGAAGCAGCAGGCAGCTGAGGATCCGTGCTGGATCCACTGTTGCCTGTAACTGCAGCAGCTCAGGCAGCTCCTCGGTCCCTCTGTGCTCAGAGCTGTGTATCTCTGTGTGAATTATCGCATCTCTGGGAGCCGGCAGCGCCCCGTGGCTCCGCGCTGCAGCAGCCCCCACTGTGCAGACAGACGGACGCTGTCTGATGCTGCTGGCTGGGCTGGCGGCTCGCACGCTGCCCTGCCCTGCAGTGATGTTGTGCCTGCAGCTGGGGCTCAAGGTGCTCAGCCACCCCCAGGTGGGTTTGTGGCTCCGCAGGGTTCTGCTCTGGGAGGGCAGAGGTGAGGGCTGACCCCACCTGGGAGCACAGAGTGGGTGTGCAGAGGTCTGTAAGCTGCCTGACTTGGGTGCTTTGCATTCCCATGTCTCCGTGCCCCTGGCTGTGAGCTTTTAGGGCCCGTGAGGTTGGAGCTCTCTGGGACTCTTGCAGCTGAGCATCAGCGCTGTTCAGGTCCTGCTCCTGTCCTCGGTGTGTGAGGTATGTGCCCATCAGCACGCTTGGAGTTACAGTGTCTGGAAGTGCTGGCACAGGGCTTCTGTGAGCAATGGGCTAAGTGTTGCTAAATGGTGGCAGTGGTGTTGCAGTGGAGATCTCCCATTCAGCTGATGGTCAGCTGAGCCTGTAGCCATGCCAGCATGGAGCTGAGACCCAGGTGTGGTCTGGTTCTTGCTAACAGCACTGGCCCTGTGCTGCGGGTCCCCGGGGGTTCCTCCTGTTCTTCTTTCTGTGTAACGTGGGTCCCTGCCTGTGTCATGGGGGGTCTTCCCTTGCTGGGAAGTTGTGGCTTCAGTCTGGGGCTCTTGAGGACAAGCTGTAAGGATGCAGAAATAAAAGCAAGTGGAGCGTGGGGAAGGGATGCTGCTTGGAGCTGGAAGGGACAGAGGGAAGAGGGGAAGGAGTTCAGGAGTGAGCCTGCGCCTGGGGCTTGGAGGTGAAACAATCATTATAGTGCACTGGGGAGGAGAGGGGAACCCATTTTGGCAGATAGGTATACATTCAAGAAGATCATATGCTTTGCATGACAATTTCATGGCTTATTCCTACAGAAATGGAGCTGTCAGGCTGAGGGGCAGCGCTGCAGGTAACGGGGTGCAGAAGTTGGATGGGTTTTGTCCTGCTGCCGTGCTCCCGTACCTCCCGTGGTGCTTGGGGTGTATGTGGGGTCCATCCCCTACTTCAGGAAAAGCAGAGGGGCTTCTCTTAATAGAGTGGTGCACTTACACTGGGATGCATTAGTTCATTGTAACCAACAGCAGTGTACCTT